TGATATAATTGGCAAAATTGGCAAAAGAAAAAAATCCTAGAATGACTTTTGATTTGTTTGGTCCAATAGATATTTTTACTGCCACTAGAGGGAGTTATAAGTATTGATTCAAGACATGTAGAAATAAATAGTTGGGTTCTAAAGTATATCCATTGAACTTTTGTGATGAATATATGAATTGTCCATTTATTTATTATTACTTTTACAGAGCTGTTCAGTTACCATTGATAATCATATTATCTTTTTGATATTGCCAGAATTATATGTGGTGGTCATTAAGCTTCACTTTCTCTTTACAATGTATGAATTATTCAGCTTCTACCATTTGTAGATAGGTGGTTTGACAATTTACTTTTAATTAGCTTACAAGACTGGCAGTAAGACCTGTTTGGAGCATATTCTTCCTCTAACATTCTTGTGGGGTTTAAAATGTGCATTTGATCTACATTAACAATTACAATTGAGACATGTGTCATAAAATTGTAGCGATCTGTGTCATTTCCCCAAATTAAACATCGACACATTATGGGATGTATGGGTTTTTTCCAACATAAAACCTAGTCATCGTATTACGGTAAAGTCTTGAAAATTTCGTCGCTTAAAAATTAATTAATATTTTTAATTGTGATTGATTTCGACTAATTTTTCAAAATTACATCTCCCCGACTCCTGGGTAAGACGAAATTTTCAAAAATCCGGCCTTTGGGCTTTTATCCTTAGCGACTGTTATCTTTGACCCTCCTATATTGCGAACAAAGTCCTGAGAATATTACGTGACATTTCTATGCCGAAGATATACCGTGAGCGGGGCAGGGGCGGATTAAAGATAAAATGAAAATGAATATTTAAAAAAAATCCAAAGAGTGTGTGTGGAGGGGGGGGGGGGGTAAAAAATCTCCCGCTGACGATCTTCTGCGAACGAAGTACCCTAAATCCCTTGAACTAATATGAAAATTGCATTTCATTCTTGCTTACATCGCGAACGATCTCCCAATTATGATATGAAAATTGCCTTTTCGTCTTGCTCGGATCGCGAACGATCTCCCTCTGACGATCTTACGCGAACAAAGTCTTGACGATATTACGCGAACGATTCTCCGCTGGAGATATGCCGTGAGCGGGGGAAGGGGGGTTAAAGATAAAATGAAAAAGACATATTATTTATAAAATTCAAAGGGGGGGGTTAAATTAATGATCTCCTGCTGACGATCTTCCACGAACGAAGTTCCCTTGAACTAATATGAAAAGTGCATTTTGTTCTTGCTTACTTGCTTACATCGCAAACGATCTCCCGCTGAAGATATGAAGATTGCCTTTTCGTCTCTCTCGAATTGCAAACGATCTCCCGCTGATGATCTTACGCGAACGGAGTCCGCTACAAATATAAAAATTATCTTCTCGTCTCGTTTGGATCACGAACGATCTGTTAACGATATTACGCGAACGATTCTCCGCTGAAGATATGAAAAATGCCATCTCGTCACATTCGCATTGCGAACGATCTCCATGTACGAGCCAGGTAATCATTAAATGGTCCTAAATTGAACATGGGCATGAATAGAAGTGACTGGTACATTTCACTTCGAGATAATATCTTGATTTTTTCATTGTGTCTTCCTCATTTAGGACAGCCGCCGATAACAATAACGGCGTTACAAGTGACAAAGCCGCGGCCTGTGACTTCTATTTGCCGGCTTGATAACGCACCTTAAGCCAGGTAATAGTAATGAAATAAAAGACAAAAGGCCGACGTTCCCGCAATTGAGAACGGGAATTCACATCTAAACCATCTATATTGTGAGTAACCACTCGCAGGGGCGCACTATTGTTCCTATCTCCCATTGAGAGTGTTATCGGCAATGATATCCTGATCGTATCATTGTCTTGAATCAACTGACGCATTACCTTCATGTTTGAGCTGGACAACGCGGCCATGTTTGGTGACGAATTTTCAAAAATTATCCAGTACCTCATTTTCAAGGTCGACGAAGTTTTCAAAGGGAAAAAAATTACGTCGGCGGAAAATCGTCTGCCGACGAAATTTTCAAGAACGACGAAATTTTCAAGACTTGACCGTATCACATGTACTGTGGACAGACCACATACCTCTATTCGCTGGATGTCATCTCTTAATTGATTGCTTAAGGCTAGAATTAGGACCACAATTTATGAAGAAGCATATAGTTCCTTAGATTTGTATATTTGTCAGGGTCCACTTTAACCTTCAACTTGCATCATATATACTTGGGAAATTTGTAGATGTGCATTTAATGATGGATGGACACTGTGTCTGGACATTAAGCCATCACTTGTGTGTGTCATTGTTGATAGTGTTGCTATTAGCATTGTCGTGCACATTCTTCATATAATAAAAGCATGATTAAAAGAATGTATCCAAGGACTTAAGGACTGTTCCCATAAACCCATCATACTAACTGAATCGATCTAATTCTGCAGGGATTCTTGCTAAAGAACATTCAGTGTAAGCGACTTAAATGTCTGAGTAAGGTCGATCCACCTAGTATGATGAGTTCATGAGAATGCAGTCTAAGGGTGCTTTCCCAGAGATTTAGATCGACCTAACTCCCTGGGGGTTCACGCTAAATTGCAGTCAGCCGAGCGGGCACCATAGTTAATTACCCCCTTACAGCTTTTAGTAGGCAGGACAGACGCTTAAGCCGGCCAAGCTGACAGTAATCTAGTGAAACTCCCCACAGGGATAGATCGATCTAAAAATCTATGGAAATGGGGTGTAAGATATAGCTCTAGTTGGAAAACCAGCTTGATGGATTATTATCATTATACTTTTTTGACATAAGTCTATAATCGTGTCATCCTGCCTATTTGTTTGTCCATCTGTCCATCAGTCTAGGCATTGGTAATTTCCTCTATCTCCTACTAGGCCATTTGAATGAACCTGAAATTTTGATTGATATACCTATCATTNCTATTGGTTAGATTGACTAAGAGTTTAAGTATAGTAGTAAAGTAGGGAGACCAAAATCTACCAAAATATTCCATTTTTGCCTTGTCAGTGACAGTTAAAATAAACTCAATTTCTATGTGAGGCTCAGTTCACAGAAGTTTTTACCGAAACCTTTATACATGGCCAGTAAAATTGATTTTGTTTACTGCCCTGCTAGAAGTGGGAGGGGATAGAGGAGGTTACTGGAACCGTGTTGTCTGTCTTTTTGCACATTTTTTCTATCAGTAGGTGGAATCTTGTCTCCCTGTCTCTCACAGCTTTCAGTGTGTTTGATAGAAACCTTACCCCTGAAGACTTAAACATGTCCCTGTGCAATTCGGTTTTCTTGTTTTGATATTGTCATTCGTTTTTTCAGAAATCTTTTTTTGCAATGTTTTTAAATGATGTTTTGTAGCATTATGTAATTTTTGGGAACAGCTCCATTTCAGTAAATGTCAATGAAATCTGTCATATATGATGCCTTTAATAGGTAGTTTTGAAGCTCTTTCTGTGGTCTTTGTCAGTCTTTTCATCTGTACCTAATCTGCCTGTCTCGAGTCTGTGATGGTTATTACCAGAGACAGGGGTGAGCCAGGATCACATAATTTGAAACTTGAACATCTCATGGGGCTTTCAGATGAGTTGGTGATTGGTTCACATTAACCAACTTTTCTAAATTGCAAACTTCATTTTCAGGAAAATTTTTCAATGTTGATAAGTCAAGAAGGGTTTGAACTAGAAATTCTATACTCTTGATTATGCCATATAAAGTGTAGGTTTGCAAGGTATATTTTTGTGTCCATCTTGAGGTTGCCATAGGAACTGAAGTCTCATGTCTTTTTGCCATACTTATTTAAACACAAATTGACACAAGGGGAGGAGGTAAATGAAAGTCATTTAGATTTTGATCTTAAGGCTGGGAAATTTTAAGACTGAGAAAAGACTGACTCTCTGAAACGCACAGTAGTCAGTTAAGTCTACATTGGTTTCGTTAATACCAATTTTTCACCATTTGAGTCTGAGTCTAAACTGTCATCAAAGGAATTAATGCAAGTAGTAATACATTCTGTATAATAGTGTTAGGTTATTACAAAATTAAAACTGATTTCTGCACAATTATTCTGGAGCTTTACACATTAATAATGAAGGCTTCGTATAAAACCAAAAACTCTGAGGGAGGCTTCAGAAAAAATTGTGTTGAAATCAGACAGTTTCAACTCAACTATGAGAAGAGTCAACATTCAAGAGCAACTGATTGCATCACACATTCCAGTAACCTTCATGGGATGATTGCCTAAAGTTACATTTATGTTGTAGTATAATCATTCATAGCAAGTGAGTACATGTACCTCAGGCATTAAACATCTTAGTGTTGCGGAAACTCATGATCATTAATTAACAGTTAGCAAGATACTTCAGGTGTAGGGATATGGAAATTAAGAGAAATTTCCATCAGCTGGATGTTTTATTGCTTAGAATGTTATGTGTGGCCATCATTTTTATTTTTCCATTTTATTTATTACAGTTATTACTTTTATCAAAATTTTTTTGCTTATACCATTCTGTCCTCAACCTGAACTTGCACCTACTTGTTTTAACAAGTGGTGTTAGATATCTTTACTAGTTTATGTTTTGAAACACAATATTTTCTTGTAGTTATTTGATTTCTTCATGTTCATGCATTTTGAGTGGTATCCCAGGCTCATAGCCAGCAATTTCAAGGGGGAGAGGGGGTCTGAAAAAGTGGACAATAATACCTTCATGTTTGTATCTAAAATTTTACCCAGAGCAGACCTTCTCCTGGAAAAAAAGACAGTTTGTTCACCCTCCCCCCCCTGAACCCCCTGGCTACGGGCCTGTAATCTTATGTACCAGTCCTTATTTGTTATCAGAAATGGCAAGTCTTCTCAAATGGTTTGTACCATTTGAAAAGCCAAGACAAACTTTTCTACATGCAATTGCCTAGCTGATTACAAACCCAGTATACCTATAATTTTGTGGACTTAATCTATGTTTGGGCATATTATATTTTCAGGAACAAATGTCACATTGGTTGGATGGGGCACCCAGGTGCACAGGTTGCGAGAAGTTGCACAAATGGCACACGAGAAACTAAAGGTCAAGTGTGAGGTTATTGATCTACGGACAGTCCTACCATGGGATGTGGACACAGTTGCAGAGGTGAGTTCTTATGGGTCTTTTTTTGGACACCTGTGCCTTCCGCGTCTGATAAGAAGAAAGTGAGTCAAAAAACATGGCTAATTGTATTAGTCAACCAAACCCAGTTTCTAGACTGATTTTTGAAAAACAGTGTCCTGATTGTTAATGGCAGTATAGAAAAACAACCACAATTCCAACAAGATACCTTAAACAATGCCATGTTGTGCATTGTATGAGCTCCCTCAGCTATTAGTGGAGGTCCTTGTCCCAGACTGAAATTCTTTATACCTCAAAAATGCTATTGTTGTACCTTAAAGATGAATTGTTACCAATATAGAATGTCCTGATCTTGATGCATACTAAATATATGTATATTTTTGTACAACATAAGAAGTATAATCACAGCTCATATGCTTTATTTACCTTGGCACTGCCAATTTTTTTTTAACACAAAATTCTATCCATAAACATGCTATTACCAAGAAACCACCATAGTAATCAGGCATTAATGCAATTTTGTTATTTGTTTAGGAAATCACTTTCTATCATCTCTTACTGAATTACCAGCATAATTATTTCTCCCTCTGTTTAGAATAGAGAGGTAATAGCGTTACTGACATCCTTGGTTTGGATAATTTATTGAAGTACTGTATGTATTTCATTTAAAGTACAGTGTTCCACAGGATATGATGGCAATTTGTACCTAGGGGTAGCTAGACCTTTTAATGTAACACTGAACATTATTCTCCACTCAGGAACTAAATCAATGATGAGGAAAACAAAAAACTCGAGAAAATGTTAATGAAGCTTTGTGAAAAGAACATAAGCAATACATTTTGTAGACACACTTTGTATCGGTAGACAGTAAAACATGAGCACATCTTGGTGCACCAGCAATTATTTTTAAAAGAACACAAGTGCTGGTACAGTTACCCTGATCTAATTAAAACAATCTCAAGTGATGTATTTCTTTTGCACAATTACTAATTCAGGGATGAATTTTGTTCTGGTTGTTGCTTTTTTCATAGATGATATTTCATTCCTGTGTTTTAGTCTGTGTGTAAGACAGGAAGGTGCATTGTGGCCCACGAAGCCCCAATTACTCAAGGCTTTGGTGCTGAAGTGGCTGCTACCATTCAGGTAAGTTGTCTATATGATGTAAGCAATTTGAAGAAATAATAACAGATGTTATATGCTGCTTAGTGAAAGCAATGATTGACTTAATGGGATCTGATAAAAGTACATAGTTTGCAGGCACTATGCAGTTATTGATGACTTCTCCAGCAGCATATTGGACTCGGTACTTTAACATGAAAAATTTCTTATCAACACCAGCTGATGATCAAAGAGAACAACAAGAGAATAACAACACATATTATCAAGAAAAATTTAGTCGAAAACCTTTGCCATTTATGAAGTAAGATAGATGGGCAGATTGAGGTGTCTGCCAATTAAAACAATAAACAAACTGATGCTCCTTTTTCAAAATCCTGTTTATAGCATATGATTTTTTTCATTAACTTTTTTGTATCATAACCCTAATGTCTACTTACTTATTAAAAATAGAATGAATGTTTCCTGAATTTGGAGGCCCCAGTCCTGCGAGTCTGCGGTTACGACACCCCGTTTCCTCACATCTACGAGCCCTACTACATGCCAGATAAATGGAGATGTTTCGAAGCAATCAAGAAAGTGATTAATTACTGACATCTTCAATCACAGCTTCAATCACAGGTGCTGGTATCTCGCTGTCCACTGGTGGACAGACTTCAACTGATGTGGAAAGTAAGGGAGCATTTTGTGACAGAGAAATGGCGTGAAATTCAAGAGATTCAGCTGATGTAAAAAAATTTGATCAGTCTGTGGTGTGGAGTTAGCCATCTTTTTTTTAAACAATAATATGAAACATAAGCATAAGATAATCAAGATATTGTATCTGATTATTAAATAATGATGTGGCAAGGGAGGGAATCAGGTAATGCTTGCAGGGGTTGTCAATGACCTGGGTGCAATCATGTGAAATATTTCAGCATTTTTGCATATGTACTGTTGCGAGTATTTATGTGTAAATCTGTATGTATAATTTCCAAGTGTATAAAAGGCATAAGGACAAATCATTCGTAGGAAGTACTCTGTGAAATTGAATTAAACTGTCTGACATCAGGTCCACTAAGATCATTATGATTTATACAACCAATGAATTTTTTTTTCATTTGGGATGGGTATGAATTAGTCAGATCAGACACAAATTTGCTTCATTTTAATTTTTAAAAAATAGCTGTTTGCTTGATATTTGGTTGCCTGCTGAGGATATTAAATCCCCAGAGAGGAAAAGTGAAGGGCAAATAGGTGGGATTAGAAGTAAACATGTGAGGAAGTGGCACAATTCCAGTTTCTGTGGGAGAACATGACAGAGGACAGACAATCAGGGAGGACACCTGTGCTGTGCTGAAGAATCCACGAGTCAGTTTTATTGCCTAGATAAAGAAGGAACAGTGCATGTTCAAAGCCATGCTTATATTTCATCTGGCCATGTGATTGCAACCTTATAGAAATCTCAATTGGTAAAATGAAGAAGTCTCCCTCCCTTAATGTTACCATAAAAATGCAGTCACTATGCCTATTCTTGTCTATGCATTATATGCTTGTTTCATTTACACTCAATTTGGAAACCAATAAAAGATTGAGTACATGGTGCATAATAATGATTTGCTCAATTTTAGAGGGTCAAGGGTTCACATTCTGGTCAACTCATACAAAACACTTTTGAAATATGCCTTGATGGCTTTCTTCTTGTAACTCAGGTGCAGCAAGTGGCATTGAGATAAAAGTTCATGTCCCACCTTTATAGCATTCGGTGGTTAATAATGAATACAAGGCTAATGAGAAAAGCCATTGCAAAATAAAAATTAAAAAAAAAAATTAAAAAATAATAAATAAATAAATAATGCTGTGGGTGCAAATTAAATGATTGTATTGTGATCAACAGATTATATATGGAGAAAAAAAAACTGTAATAGTCGCCCAAGCACAGATGATTATTACAATATNTTTGTTCACCCTCCCCCCCTGAACCCCCTGGCTACGGGCCTGTAAACTTATGTACCAGTCCTTATTTGTTATCAGAAATGGCAAGTCTTCTCAAATGGTTTGTACCATTTGAAAAGCCAAGACAAACTTTTCTACATGCAATTGCCTAGCTGATTACAAACCCAGTATACCTATAATTTTGTGGACTTAATCTATGTTTGGGCATATTATATTTTCAGGAACAAATGTCACATTGGTTGGATGGGGGACCCAGGTACACAGGTTGCGAGAAGTTGCACAAATGGCACACGAGAAACTAAAGGTCAAGTGTGAGGTTATTGATCTGCGGACAGTCCTACCATGGGATGTGGACACGGTTGCAGAGGTGAGTTCTTATGGGGCTTTTTTTGGACACCTGTGCCTTCCGCGTCTGATAAGAAGAAAGTGAGTCAAAAAACATGGCTAATTGTATTAGTCAACCAAACCCAGTTTCCAGACTGATTTTTGAAAAACAGTGGCCTGGTTGTTAATGGCAGTATAGAAAAACAACCACAATTCCAACAAGATACCTTAAACAATGCCATGTTGTGCATTGTATGAGCTCCCTCAGCTATTAGTGGAGGTCCTTGTACCAGACTGAAATTCTTTATACCTCAAAAATGCTATTGTTGTACCTTAAAGATGAATTGTTGCCAATATAGAATGTCTTGGTCTTGATGCATACTAAATATATGTATATTTTTGTACAACATAAGAAGTATAATCACAGCTCATATGCCTTATTTACCTTGGCACTGCCATTTTTTTTACACGAAATTCTATCCATAAACATGCTATTACCAAGAAACCACCATAGTTATCAGGCATTAATGCAATTTTGTTATTTGTTTAGGAAATCACTTTCTATCATCTCTTACTGAATTACCAGCATGATTATTTCTCCCTCTGTTTAGAATAGAGAGGTAATAGCTTTACTGACATCCTTGGTTTGGATAATTTATTGAAGTACTGAATGTATTTCATTTAAAGTACAGTGTTCCACAGGATATGATGGCAATTTGTACCTAGGGGTAGCTAGACCTTTTAATGTAACACTGAACATTATTCTCCACTCTGAGGAACTAAATCAATGATGAGGAAAACAAAAACCTCAAGAAAATGTTAATGAAGCTTCCTGAAAAGAACATAAGCATTACATTTTGTAGACACACTTTGTATCGCTAGACAGTAAAACATGAGCACATCTTGGTGCACCAGCAATTATTTTTAAAAGAACACAAGTGCTGGCACAGTTACCCTGATCTAACTAAAACAATCTCAAGTGATGTATTTCTTTTGCACAATTACTAATTCAAGGATGAATTTTGATCTAATTAAAACAATCTCAAGTGATGTATTTTCTTTTTCACAATTACTAATTCAAGGATGAATTTTGTTCTTGTTGTTGTTTTTTCATAGATGATATTTCATTCCTGTGTTTTAGTCTGTGTGTAAGACAGGAAGGTGCATTGTAGCCCACGAAGCCCCAATTACTCAAGGCTTTGGTGCTGAAGTGGCTGCTACCATTCAGGTAAGTTGTCTATATGATGTAAGCAATTTGAAGAAATAATAACAGATGTTATATGCTGCTTAGTGAAAGCAATGATTGACTTAATGGGATCTGATAAAAGTACATAGTTTGCAGGCACTATGCAGTTATTGATGACTTCTCCAGCAGCATATTGGACTCGGTACTTTAACATGAAACATTTCTTATCAACACCAGCTGATGATCAAAGAGAACAACAAGAGAATAACAACACATATTATCAAGAAAAATTTAGTCGAAAACCTTTGCCATTTATGAAGTAAGATAGATGGGCAGGTTGAGGTGTCTGCCAATTAAAACAATAAACAAACTGATGCTCCTTTTTCAAAATCCTGTTTATAGCATATGATTTTTTTCATTAACTTTTTTGTATCATAACCCTAATGTCTACTTACTTTTTAAAAATAGAATGAATGTTTCCTGAATTTGGAGGCCCCAGTCCTGCGAGTCTGCGGTTACGACACCCCGTTTCCTCACATCTACGAGCCCTACTACATGCCAGATAAATGGAGATGTTTCGAAGCAATCAAGAAAGTGATCAATTACTGACATCTTCAATCACAGCTTCAATCACAGGTGCTGGTATCTCTCTGTCCACTGGTGGACAGACTTCAACTGATATGGAAAATAAGGGAGCGTTTTGTGACAGAGAAATGGCGTGAAATTCAAGAGATTCAGATGATGTAAAAAAATTTGATCAGTCTGTGGTGTGTCGTAGGCCATCTTTTTTTTTTTTAACAATAAAATGAAACATAAGCATAAGATAATCAAGATATTGTATCTGATTATTAAATAAAGATGTGGCAAGGGAGGGAATCAGGTAATGCTTGCAGGGGTTGTCAATGACCTGGGTGCAATCATGTGAAATATTTCAGCATTTTTGCATATGTACTGTTGCGAGTATTTATGTGTAAATCTGTATGTATAATTTCCAAGTGTATAAAAGGCATAAGGACAAATCATTCGTAGGAAGTACTCTGTGAAATTGAATTAAACTGTCTGACATCAGCTCCACTAAGATCATTATGATTTATACAACCAATGAATTTTTTTTTCATTTGGGATGGGTATGAATTAGTCAGATCAGACCCAAATTTGCTTCATTTTAATTTTTAAAAAATAGCTGTTTGCTTGATATTTGGTTGCCTGCTGAGGATATTAAATCCCCAGAGAGGAAAAGTGAAGGGCAAATAGGTGGGATTAGAAGTAAACATGTGAGGAAGTGGCACAATTCCAGTTTCTGTGGGAGAACATGACAGAGGACAGACAATCAGGGAGGACACCTGTGCTGTGCTGAAGAATCCACGAGTCAGTTTTAATGCCTAGATAAAGAAGGAACAGTGCATGTTCAAAGCCATGCTTATATTTCACCTGGCCATGTGATTGCAACCTTATAGAAATCTCAATTGGTAAAATGCAGAAGTCTCCCTCCCTTAATGTAACCATAAAAATGCAGTCACTATGCCTATTCTTGTCTATGCATTATATGCTTGTTTCATTTACACTCAATGTGGAAACCAATAAAAGATTGAGTACATGGTGCATAATAATGATTTGCTCAATTTTAGAGGGTCAAGGGTTCACATTCTGGTCAACTCATACAAAACACTTTTGAAATATGCCTTGATGGCTTTCTTCTTGTAACTCAGGTGCAGCAAGTGGCATTGAGATATAAGTTCATGTCCCACCTTTATAGCATTCGGTGGTTAATAATGAATACAAGGCTAATAAGAAAAGCCATTGCAAAATAAAAATCTTTAAAAAAATTAAAAAATAATAAATAAATAATGCTGTGGGTGCAAATTAAATGATTGTATTGTGATCAACAGATTATATATGGAGAAAAAAACTGTAATAGTCGCCCAAGCACAGATGATTATTACAATGTGAAATCTCATGGGAAAGGTAATGATACATATTGTGTGTGACTGCTATCCCAGAAAGATCAGTTATACTATAGATTTTTTACTTTCAAACATGCATTAATTTCCTAGCAATGATTTTTTGTAAGCAGGAACATCAAGGCATATGTACAAAGTATGAGTAATACATTATTCCACAGGCGGGGCTATGGAGTTAAAGATCAGTGGGATGAAGCAAGTGGTTAAACAGCCTTTAATAAGCTGTTGCTGCCTTCATACTAAGCCTAACAGAAAATAGATTATGCGGATGACATGTTTTTATATGAAAAGCGTACAGCTGAACTGTGGATTATGCTATATACATATACACTTTGCACAAATGCTTTTCATATATTTACTTGCTCAAGAGTACTTGTTTTATTTATGTGTATTAAGTCTGGATAGATTTGCAATTTGCTAATGGTAGTTTTCTGTTATTTTTGTGGTGTTTTTGTTGTTTTGATTAAATCCTGATAACAAGACATTATAAAATGGAACGGGAAAATCGATAAGTTTAGTTTTCAAAGAAATGCACAATGGCTTTAAGTGCTGACATATAAAATTTCCCTCAAAAAGTTGTTTTCATGATGAAATATATTTCCTGTTATTTGATAAAACATTGAGTTGTATGTTTTTAATCTTTCTTGTTCTAGAAAATCTCTAATTAATACAAGAATTACAGGTCTACTTCTCTAGAACCAGAAAAGTTCTTCAGGTCCTTGTATTGCCATATTTGTCCCAAACCTAGATATGTATCCCAAAGGGAGGTTTTGAAAGAAAATATATTTCTTTCTTGTCATGAATATATTGTTTGAAGAAAATTCCACGTACTATTTCTCTTTGTATGTAAAGTTAAACTTGACCAAGACCAGCAGGTGCAGAATGTTGATTTAAGTTTAAATTTAGTTTATACATCAATTGCTGAAGATTCTACACTGAAAATGAAATGTCTATTCAATGCTGAAATGCTGAAGATAGGTTGAGTTGAAATACTGGCACCGGTTCAATGTTGGACTGTAGCGATCCCTTCTACTATCTCTTCATTAGTAAAAATATAAGGAGCAGGTTCCTTAACCACATCACAACCCAGGGTTGAACATCATTTTACATCCCACACATGAATGTTGTTTCAACATTAATTCAACTGTTGTGTGCTTGCTGGGATATTGACAACTTAATTTTCACATGAATACTGTAGGGAGAATTGAGATGATGCAGACGCATTAGACACACATTGACCCCATATGTTGTTTAATTTAAAGTTTAATTACCTACTTAAAAAGTCACAAAAAAAAAGAAGAAAAAGGAACTTGCTTCACTCATGCGTAAGAGTCAGTGAACTAGGTAATTTCCATGGTTGCTTTTCAGAAATGTTTCAAGTTTTAAATTATAACAATTCCAGAATATTTGAAGACAAGTGAGACACACTGGTTTTTAGCACAAAGAGTGTTACTTTCAAAATTAAAATTTGAAAAAAAAAAAAAAAAAAACATTAGAAAATGTCCTTAATTCCAGTTTCCAGTACAGTGTGATTCACCCTCTATAACCGTCCAAATGTGTGAAATTGTTAGTGTACATCAAGTAGGAAGTGGACAGTTCTATCTTCTACATACAATTTGCCATGGTACTGAATGCCTGGTATGTGTAGAATGATAGTGACGCTAGGGTAGATGCTGTTTAATACATTATTGATAATTAGCATTGTATTATTTATAGCATAAGTGCATTTCACTGGAGAGCAAAGGGTGTCGCAGTGTATATTTATGATCAGAATTAATAAAGATGTGATCAGGATGAACTTTAATTTCCGTTATTGTCACATGGACTGAAATTACGTATTCCCCTTCTTAGCTTGATGCAGTGATGATTAGATTATGTGTGTGAATCTGTGAGATATGCTCCCGTTCCTTCCCTTCAGATAAAAGACATTTGTAAAATTATGCAAAATTACTGTCCAAATGTTCTCCACCCTTTACTTTCTAGAAATATGTAGTCTCCACTTTTGTGTACTAGATGTTTTTTATTGGTCTGGATGATTTCCCATTATCTGGACATCTGGCGGCCTTGAGTTGTACCTGCATGGATTTTATGTATGGGTTTCAGGCCCGTAAGGGGTGGGGGGTTAGAAAAACCCCCCCCCCCCCCCCCCCCCCCGCGCCTT